TTTTTTTTCTGAGACCAGGTCTCACTAAGCTGCCCAGGCTGACCTCAAACTTTCAATCCTCCTGCCTCAGCCTCCCAGGTAGCTGGGATTATAGGTGTGTGCCACACACACCCAACTGGAAGTCTTCTATTAAAGAACAATGAAAATAGAAAATCATCATTTAGCAAACACTGGAGTAATAATCATTGCTTAGGTCAGAATCAGAAAGGATGCAAAAATTACTGGGTAAAGTATACAAGAAATAAGGCGTTTGTACAAATTCAAAATATCTCCCCACAGCATGCATTCCGCTCTCCTTATCCATAGTTCTGCACCTTTGGATTCAATCAACAGACTATTGAAGATATATTTTTTAAAATTGCCTCTCTAAGCTGGACATGGTGATGCACACCTGTAAGCCCAGCACTTGGGAGGCTGAGGCAGGAAGATCATAGTGAGTTCGAGGTAAACCTGAGCCACATAGAGAGTTCAAGTCCAGTCTGAACTACATAGCGAGACTGTGCCTCAAAAAAAAAAGCAAAAAACAACAAAAAATGCATCTGTACTGAACACACAGAGGTCTTTTTTGGCTATCCTTTCCAAAACACCACCGTGTGGCATGATTTATACAGGGCTATGTGCATTTCCCTGGGCATCAGGAATCATCCAGAGCTGGAGAAGCTCGGGAAGGGTGTGTGCAAGTCCCGTGAGAATATCAAGCCGTCTCCCAGACGGAACTTGAATCTCTGTGGACTTTGGTGTTTGGAGGAGGCCGTGGGGGTGGTCAGTCCCCTGTGGACACGGGAGAGTCATACGTACAAAGGACAAAGGGGAAAAGAACTGCACAACAGTGGAGAAAGCTAGCCAATGCGCCCTTGACCAAGTGACCCAAGTCCATGCCACTAGTCTTGAGCAGTCTCACCTCTCTGCACCTGTTATGTGCAGCTCCAGAAAAGGCACAATGCCACTTTTCAGTGTTTTTCCTGAAAATGCACCATCTCTGTCTGTGAAGAAGTGTTAGAATTGCCACAAAACTACAAGCTGGCACCTTCAAATGCATCAAGAGACAGAGAGAAGAGACCACTGAGAATGCACCAGCCTGAGGACCCTGAAGAGCCAGAACAGTTTAAATCCCCAGGCAGGTCCTGCACGGGAAAAGGATGTTTTGTTTTGTTTGTTTTGAGACAGTGTCTCACTATGTAGTTCAGGCTGGCCTTGAACTCACAGCAATCCTCCTACCTCAGCCTCCCGACTCCTGGAATTACAGGTGTGCACCACGACGCCCAGCTTGGAAAAGGATATTATGAGGACGGTTGACAAAATCTGAAGAAGGCCTATGTATAATATGGTGTCACTGTTAATTTCCTGGCTTGGATACCTATACAATGGTTATGTAGGTTGCTCACTTTAGGGGAAGCTGGGTAGAAGATATAGGTATAGAAAAACTTCATTTACTGTTTTTACAAACTTAAAATTGTTCCAAAACAAAAAGTAAAAAAAAAATGTTGTGCAAGCATACATGCACACACATACAGTGGTACTCATTGGTGTGCAGTTTGTAAAAGCAAAAACTAAGAAACCCTTAAATCTCTGTCAAAGACATGGGAAATAAATGATGGTCTTTTCCTGTGGTGGACTACTACACAGGTGTTAAAAAGGTGGGTACATGGGAAATGATCCCAAAAATATTTTTCTGGGAGGAAAAGCAAGGGAAAAATGTCTGGCATGAAGACAGTTCCAGGAATTATGGACTCTGGAGTGGGGGAAAACATCTGGAATGGGGAAAACATCTGGAATGGAAATATTAATAGGGTTGTGGCAATGGGATTGGGAGAGAAGGCTTACTTTGAACCATGTTCAGGTCTGTGATATTGGGATTTTTAATAGATCACCTTTCTTCATAATCACAACAACAACCAAAGGAAGAGTGGGAATCTAGAACACAAAACAAAGCCGGCCAGGGCCTGTCTGCACCTCTGTGGGTCCCACACATGCCACTGCGGGGGCCAGGTGGTAGGCACGGGGTGCTGATCTCTGCAGGCTGTGCTGTGTGGCAATCATGGGCCCAACCTCGACTTTTAGCAATGAAAATACACCCCATTTATGACGGCCCAGCAACAGTTAGTGTCATGAGTTCTGGCCCTCACCCTGGCCAGGACACGTACTCAAAATTCTCTCACACAGCTCAGCAGCACAAGTGCCTGGCCGGCAAGCGCAAGGTCCTGAGTTCGATTCCCGGTAAAGATAAAATAAAATAAAGTAAAATATTTCCTACAACTTTGTGTGTAACTCTGTTTTGTTAGTATTGTTCTTATGCTATTTTGTAAATGGATGTCTGTTAATGTTTTCCTTCTTTTATTTTTAAAATTTAAAAAAACGAAGTTATAAGTAAAAAAAAAAAAAAAAAACTCGGTCACGCGTGAGCGGGCGTCGCTGCGCAGGTGTCTTGTAGGTGAGAGGAACACTGAGGCCAGCGGTGGTGTGAATCGCAGCCAGACTTTGACCCCAGCCGCGACGCCACCTCTGTGTCCCGCTGTCCCCCTGCCAGCTCCTAACTGCTGACAGTGCCCCGCCCAAGCGACTGTACCGCCTACTGGTTCTGTTTCCCTGAAGAGCCTAGGACACCCCCGGATTCGGAGTGTGGGAGTGAGGGAAAGCAGAGACGCGGAGGGGCCCGGGAGGCAGAGGCCCCAGGTTGGACTGCTGAGGGGGACAGGTTATGAGAAGCCAGTCTCTGAGCTGCAGAGCAGGAGGAGGGGGAAAGTGTTAGCAGCTCCGGGACTCCAAGGGCCGGGCCTGGCAGCGAGACCCCAGAGAGCTCCCTGTGGATGCGCATGCGTGGCAGAGGGCCAGGCGGGGACCGGGCTGTAGTGGGGTGGGACTGTGAGAGGAGGGACTGGGTGTGGGCGGGGCCTGTAGAAGATGGTGTGGGCGGGGCTAAGAGAGTAGAACTTCAGAGGGTGGGGTTTGAGGGGGCAGGGATGTGAGGGGCGGGGCTAAAAGAACACCGTCATCTCCTATTCTAGTCTGGAGCCCAAAGCTGGCCAGTTCCCTCTTCAGCCCCACGCCCTTCCCTGCTGTTTCCGTCCCCTCCCCCAAGCATGTACGGTGTCTGCGGGTTTCCCTTGCGGTGGAGGCACCGTTCACCTTTGTGCACACACATACCCCCCACTTTGCACACACAAGGTGCTCCATAAATCTGTGCTCGGCTCTGGTCTCCTGCAGCGCTGTGCTGCGGCTTGATCCTCCCCAAGAAACAGAGAGTGCAAGGGGCCAGCCCAGGGCCTTTACCTCACGAGGTTGGCACAGGGCCCGGGCCACCGGCAGCTCTGGTACACGCGCTGGACCACGGTCTCCGAGCCATTCTGCACCTGGCAGGACACCGTCCGCGTCACCGTGTGATGACACCAGTGCCTGTGGAGAGAGCAGGAGTCAGGTCAGCGCTGTCTGCTCCTGAGGACCTGGGGAAGCTGGGGAAGCAAGCACACTAGCAAATCCTGTGGGCACCTTCTCGGTGGGTAAGGGGCCCACTGAGAACCCCTCCTGGCCCAGGGTGCGCCCACACTGTTGGCCCCCAGCCTATCATTTCTGTCACTGGCACTGCCTGTGGGATGGGTGAGGGCAACCAGCTGCTGCCCCCAGAAAGCTGCTCTGGCTGGAGAGGCAACAGCCAGGAGCTGGGGGTGACAGGTCAATAGGAGAGGGGCACAGAGCCGGGGGACAGAGCAGGGTCTGTACTACAAAAGGCCACCAGCTGAGCTCTGAAAGGTCCCTTAGCTGAGCGAGAGTGAGGGGCCGCAGGCAGGGAATGGAAGGTGGCATTAGCAGAGAAGGAGTAGTCTGGGCACCAGCATCAGGTGAGAGAGACCAGAGCACAGCCAGGGACCTCTGTGCAATTAGGCAGGAGGATCTCAAGTGGAGCCCAGCCTGGGCGACCCAGTGATTTAATGAGACCTGTCTCAAAATAAAAAGTAAAAAAGGCTGGAGATGTAACTCAGTGCAAAGGCTCTGGCTGGGTTCAACCTTGAGAACTAGAAAACACACGCGCACACACATACACACACACACGCACACATACACACACTCACACACACCACAGTGGAAACAGCTGAAGAGTTTTTGACGAGGCAGAAGTCCGTGATGCTTCCCAGAAAGCCCTGCAAAAATACAAAGAGATGGAAAATGTGGGGGAGAATGTAAGGAATTTAGAAGCCAAACAAGTGCAAACACCTACCTATTAATAAATACAGAGGGGAAATAACAGAGAGTAAAGAAAACTTCCTGAAGGATGTACTTGAAGAAATAGTAACATTTTCCAGAGCTAAAAAAAGACATGACTCCAAATTTGAAAAGCCCACTGAGTGCTGTTATGATGATATTTCTGATCAAGATGAAGAAAAAATATTAAATGCCATAGAAAGAAAAGGTAAAAGATTACCTACAATAACTTTAAATTAAGTTTGTATCAGCAACATCAGCTTCAAAAATATAGAGACACAACTGCCTCAAACTTCTAAGGAGAAAGACTTAAGATTCTATACCCAGCCAAACTATCCTGCAAGGACAAAAGACAAATAAAGATTTTCAGGTGCACAAAGATCCCAGAAAGTTTACCAGTCAGCCTTTCTGAATTACTATAGAATTTATTCTCACAAAATTAAAATAAAAGACCCAGAAGGAAGACATGAAGTAGCAGTTATGGGTGAAAAAAAAACCAATATGATTAAATAACAACATAGATATAAGATAAAGGTGATCTTGATATGGGAGATGGCAAAGAGGAAAAGTTGTAAGGAAACTTAAAGTTGCAGAAATTTTTGTCTTATTTAAGGAAAGACTATAGAAGTCATGTAGTTTTGGGTATGGTATAAAAATACATGATTAAATATGTTTTGAATTTTAAGAGGAACACTAGCAAGGAAAATGTGAAACTGACAAACCACCCAAAATCAAAACAAAAAGGAAAAAAGAAAAAAACAATAAAATGCTAGAAATGAAGGTAGTAACAAAAAACACACTGGTTAGGAGACAGTAAAATTGAAAAAGAATTTAAGAAAGAACAAGCAAAATATAATGAAATGAATTCCTTTTAAAAAATGGCCTGGTGTGATGGCACACATCTGTAATCCCAGCACTCGGGAGGCAAGGCAGGAGGATGGCTTCAAGTTTGAGGCCAGCCTGGGCTACAAAATGAGAGCAAGGCCACCTTGAACTGCATAGTTGAGACCCGGTCTCAAAAAAAAACAGAAAACAAAAGCCAAGCACCGTGGCACACTCATGCAATCCTAGCACTGAGGGAGGCAGGAAGGAAGATCACAAGCTCATCCAGCCTGGGCAACTTAGTGACTTAGCAAGATTCTGTCTCTAAAAAATTCAACAGAATACAAACAGGTTTTTAAAAAAATCTAATCAACAAAGCTAAAACCATTCTTAATGAGAAACAAACAAAAGACATACAGACAGACATAAAGAACAAGAACAATTCCAGATATTAAAATGTATAAATAGATATTATATTTGACATTACATCACAAATTTTCAAAAATTTGACAACTGGACAATTTGCTAGGCAAAAACATCCTACCAATAATGGCAGAACCCAAATTAACATAGAAGAGGGAAAAGTAGTCAAAAGTCAACCTGCTTCCCCAAAGGCACCAGGAGACCTAGTTCAAAACCTGCCTTGGCCATCATTCTGCTGTGTGATTTAGGTAAAGTGATATGCCCTCACTGAGCCTGAATTATATTTTTAAAAAATCTAAGCCAGGCATGGTGGTGCACACTTGCAATCCCAGCACTCTCAGAGGCTGAGGCAGGAGGATCCAAGTTTGAACTCAACCTGGGCAACTTAGCAACTTAGCAAGACCACATCTCAAATTTTTATAATTTATAAAAGGAGTGAAGACATGGTTGTATGAAAAGGTCCTGGGTTCAATACCCAGGACTGAAAAAACATCTACCTGTCCAGGTCATAGTGAGGGTAAATGAGCACACCCACGTTGGTAAAGGCAAACCATGACCCAAGGTGTCATTGCTGCTTAGATACTCAAACCCACAGGATCCAGCCCTAACTGGAGGCTGAGCTTGGACGGGAACCCAGCAGTCCAGCCCCGCGGACCAGCAGGTCCCGCCCACTCAGGACACGCGGCATGTCCAGCCTCTTCCAGTTACCTGGGGGACATTTCTGCAGCCTGGGCCCCTTCTGCCACTTCGCCCTGCAGCAGAGGCTCTGTATCCACACCTGCATGCATTTTTTTCTCTTTTTTTTTGGTACCAGGAATCGAACTCAGGACCTTGCACTTGCTAGGCAGGCTCTTGTGCCACTGAGCTATATCCCCGGCCCTCTGTATGCATTTCTGAAGAGCGGAAGAGGAGTGGCTCTCTGTGGAAGAGGACAGACAGCACCCCAGAAGCGCCTGCCCCAAGGGCTCAGGAGCAGAGACACCACTGGCCATCTCTGAACCCCACACTGAGCTACATCCCCAGCCCTTTTTCATTTTTCATTTTGAGCTTCAGTGGGTGGAAAGATGGTTCCTTCATCCTCAGTGGCACGGACGAAGGTGGCATCACTCACCAGTGCCACGGATGTCCACGGAGCTGCTGCTGCATCCGAGGTGGCTGCAGGGTTGCCCTTGCATGCCCTAGGCTCTGGGCAGTGCTCGGGACAGGCAGGTAAACAGTCAGTCTCCAGAGCTAGTGCTGTTCTGCCTCAGTAGGTTTTACTGTGCCCAAGGCTTGGCAGCCTCACCCATAAACTGGGACTAAGAATATACTTGGGAGGCTGAGGCAGGAGGATCTAGAGTTCAAAGCCAGGCTGAGCTACCTAGCAAGATTCTGATCCCCACACACAAAAAAAGCAAAACACACTGTAACAGGGACATAGAAGCTTGATGGAGAACTAAAAGCAGGACGAGGGTCAGCATCTCTGTCTCATTTTAATATCTTTCTCCTTTATTAATAATCACTTCAGGCCACATCCTTGCCCAACGCTACCTGTGGGCAGGTAATCCCTCAAGGAGTCTGGAACACAAGGTCTGTTCGCCCCTAAATTTACCCCTCTTCAAGCCTGAGGACCCCAAGATAAGAGAATCAAAGTTAGTTTTAGGATTTGCGGGGACACTGCATGCTCGTTTTTACAGTGTCCAGTTCCAGACCCCGGAGTGAGGCCTTGAAGTCACCAGCCACAGCCCTCACCCTGTAGCCACCTCGGGTCCCTGCAAACACAGCCTCAAAGACAACCCCATAATGAGGTCACCGTGCTGGAAATCGAGGCTACTCCCCACCCCAAGCAGGAGCCATCATCTCTGAGGAGACCCAAATTGTCCCCTTGGATGAGCCCGAGCCCGGTATTTTAAGGCTGCTAGAGCTGGGTCTCTTGCCCTAGAACCCCGCTCTCACCACCACCCAGGACCAGGAAAACGTGTGGATGTGTGAGCCTTTGGCAGCTTGGAAAGGGTTCAGGGTGTCAGCGTCCCGGATATTAGAGGAGTTAATTCAGGTCGCCAACAGAGTGCTGGGCAGCGGGTGTGGATGCCCTAGGACATTCCCCGAGAGCCTGGCCCCTGGAAACTAGGGGCACCGGTCTCAGTGGCAATGTTTCAGGGGGAGGATCAGGTCCCCACAGAGAAGGGCACACACAGAAGGAGGCAGAGTGCACTGGCAACCATGTGTGGGATACAACCAGAACTTGGTTGAGGTCTGTTGCTTGCTGAAGCCCTCCCTGTGGACCTAGATGGAGACTTAGGAAAACATCACCTTGCAGGTGCTCTTGGAAAGATGCTCCTGCTCCAGCCTCCTTTTCACACGTGACAAAACTGAGACATAAAGAAGGCGAGGGAAGATGGTGGTGGCGCAGCCAGGTGGTGACAGTCCAGCAAAGTTAGGATTCCTGCTTGACATTTTCTCCCTTTCTCCTGCAATCAGGCAGGAGATTGGTTCCCAGTGTAACTGGGAGAAAATAAAACCTGATAGGAATCTCAGGAATGTGGCCGCTGACCTGACCAGAGGAGTGGGATTTGGCATTTGACATCCACACCGCTGCCACCCCACATGGGGGTATCTACTGTGCCTTGGTCCAAAAGAACCAACTCTGGTCTAAATATGGAATGACCAGTGACACCACTGTGACACACAGCAGTCTTTGTCATCTCCAGGGGAGTCCTCAGCTTCCCTGCAAGGGCAGCCTGGTGATACTGAGGAAATAAATGTAACACTCCCAACCTGCTATATGTCCAATACGCCAAGTTTGTGGTCCTCAAAATTGAAGAATGAATTCTAAGGAACTATAGAGCTTAAGAGTAGGAAATATTTATTGAGAGAGGGATAGCTCCTGAGAGACAGGGGGAACCTGAAAAATGGGTTGTTGCAGACCCCATTTTATAGGGGAAGTTTTATAGAGCAAAATCGGGACTGGG